GACATCAGAGCTAGATGGTTCACTGCCTTGTGGCAGCGATAACATTCGTCAGGTTCAGGAAAGAGCTATTGAAGAAAGCATGAGGATTTTTCAGGAAGAAACTGTCGGAGTTTCCGCCTCGAGTAGCGTGAAGTATTTGGATGAGCTCATGGTAAGACTTCAACATTACAGTGTTATTATGAAGGTGCTGATTAAAAAATTTCTAAGAGAATGATCGAAAAAGCTTTTGATGGTTAAGGGATATTCATCCTCGGGTAGTTTATTAATTCGATGGCGTTTTTAGTACACGCGTAGCAAATCTAGTTGAGATATATAAGGGTTTTCCAAGCACTTTTCAGTATTTAGTATTGCCTCAAAGGTTCATTAGCGCGGCTCCTGTCAGGAACACTCAGTATTTTAGTTTCCTGAGGACGCCTACGTTTCAGACTAAAAGTACGACCTTATTATGAAATAAGCATCGTTATTTTTTTAGGAGAGTATGAACGAAGGGTTGAAACGATGGCAAGATGAGAACAAACGATTAACGAAAGAACAATGCCATAAACTGCTGAGGGCCTTAAAAAAAAAACACTTGGACCCCATTCTGAGGGAGCTAAGCGGCAAGGATGGAGCAGCAGTCAGCTTTGCTCAGATCATTGGTGGCTACTCAGCAATTGAACAGGGATTTAATCGTGACGCAAAGGGAGCCAAAGACGTTTGCGCTCAAGTGTTTTACGAGTTTCATCCGGTAGGCCAAGCTGAGCCAACCAGTTAGAGCTGTCCATCAATCTGAAACCTTTATGTTTCTCTTTATAAGGGATTTAAGATTTGCTTATTTGTCAATTTTTTCTCTCTATCAGTATTGAGGATGATCACTCTCTTCTTTGCTTTGTTACCAAAATTGTGTTTTCATTAACGAGAAAAACAGAATGATGGAAACTTAAGTGAAGGTTTCTCCGTGAAGCCATATCAGTCATCTAAACCATTATTTGGACATTGTAGGAAATGCAGGCAGAGATGGAGAAACACATGGCATACTTGCAAAAGCTGAAAGACTTCGACGTGTCTTTGGCTTTCGAAAAACAAGAAAAGGCTCGTTTGGAGCAGGAGAGACGACGAATAGAGGTGACACATTGAATAACTAGCGAAAGAGATACTATTTCCCCCGCACATACCTACAGGTTATATGATTATATCTTCATTTCAATCAGTCTCCCTAAATTTGTTTTCTTACGTTTGAATCAAAATAATTTGAGGGTAAATATTTGTCGAGCGTGGAGTTACAGTCAAGCAGCTCAATGATAACTGTTCAAACTAGCCTCAAGCGCTGGCGCTAGCACCTATCTCTTTCTTGCAGTATGAAAATAACTCAGTTTTGGTTGCTCAATGCGTTCACACCCAACGAACAGTAAATTTTGTAAAGCTTTAAAGATTATGTGTATTATTTAAAAATTTGTAATTATAGTAATGACGACTTAAACATATTATGTAATAATAATGATAATAGTAATAACAATAAAGTGAATAGTAATGGTAAAAATAGGGTTCATGCAATATGCAACAAATTCCACTGCGTTTGGAGCAATAGTTGGTTCTCGCAATTGACCTATTACAACCTATATCAACAATGCATAACGATCTATGATTGAATTCTAGGAAGAGAATGCTCGGTTGGAAAAGGTGCGGCGTGCGATAAACAAAGAGGTGGGTTTCCTCGTATCTGTTTTTTTTTTTTGTTTGCTTATTGATTTATTGGGTAGTTTTGTTTGTTGCCATTGTTGCTGTTGCCTTTGTTTTGTTTCTTTCATTGTTTTTTATTCCTTGGGTGTTTCTTTGAGGTAATAAAGTGTTAGCACATCACCCATGATCACTTTTTCGCGGTTTGCTTCCATATTTGTTCAATACTAACACCATTCTATCAATGTCCCTATTCCAGCGCCCACCTAAGTCTGATTAATTGCCATTCATTACTATGCTCCAGTTCAATTGAAAAAGTGAGTAGATATAAGCTTAAAATGTTTCAGATATCAATTTGTGAATTTCGTGTTTTGTTGTAGATGGAAATTCTGAAAGCTAAGCAAGAGGAAGACAGAAAACGCTTGGAACAGCAGATTAGAGCGGACACGGAAGCCTTTGGGGAGCAAATAAAGAACATAATTAAAGCAAACATGGAAGAGCTGCGAAAGGATCGAGAGGCAATGGTCCAGCAGAATCAAACCGTTAAGGAGGCAATGGAGCAGATGCAGCAGTTAATGGAAAAAAAGAATGACCAATTTGTCGAGCTACAGAAGCAAATTGTTGCTTCCGCAAGCAGGCCACCTCCTCCCCCACCGAAGAAAAGATTTTGTGTTATTTCGTAAAAACACGGTCAGTTTACCTTTCACATAACACCTGACTCCGAAGATTTAACTTTTCTTTTTGTTCAAAGGGGCTGCTGATGGTGAAATAAGCGACTATAACCAAGTAGCGGGCTATAGAAAGCCTGTAAGTAGCAGTAGACTGCCATCAGGTTATTTCTATTTAAGTTACTTGCCGTTATTTCAGAAGTTTATTCACTTCTAGAGATCTGTGAATTATATCTATGTTATAACTGACTTGACTACAATAAACTGGTGTTAAACCGAAAAAGTCTGCATGGTTTTATAATGAAAATCTTAAATCTTATGGTATCATTACTTTGGAGGTATTTGTGCGATCAAAAGGGGAAATGAGTTGGCTTGTGTGGCGGACGTTATAGAAGACAGCTGAAATTCTTCAGAAGTCCAGCACTGGTCACCGATCAAATTTGAAACTTCTTTCACTTGATTGAGGCTAGGAGATAACTGCATCATGCTATTAGAAGGCTTATCGCTAACTAAGGACACAATAAGGAGTCGCATCGAGATGACTTTTTAGGCAAGTTATGGCTAACAGATATGAAATGTCTATACCAGTTCTTCGGCATACCTCAATATTGTATCCGAGAATATTGCTTGAAAATGAAAGGCTTTAGGGCATTATGTATGTATATAATAATGATTATTATTGGACTGAGATGACTTCAACGCGTGGGAAGATCTACAAACTCTTGTACAACTGCAGGAAAACACCCTAAAGAAGATAAAAAGTTAATGTATTTGTATTAATCAAAAGGCTAAAAACCATCCTAACAATAGAGTTGTAGCTTAACTTAATGAAGGCAATGATCCTCTCTTAGAGAAGGTAATTGTATTCTCCTCTCTTTCTCACGGTATGTTAGGCATCACTGAAGAACTCCATTATCTCATTGATGCTTCAGTAAGAAGTCGCTCCAAAGCTCTAACTACAGGCTCCAATGTTTTATCAATGTAGTGCATGGAATCACGGGTGCCTTCAGGCCAAGCCGTGTTCATCGGGTAAATATCAAGAACAGGAATTCCTGCCTGACACATAGCATCTGTAGCATAAGCATGGAACAGCTGATTCTTCTAAATCGTAGAAGACTTGCCTACAAAGTAGGCAAGCAAGGAAGAGATGAGACAAATTAAGCAAAATGTTATAGACAAATTTGAAACATTCATAGTTTATATACGTAATACTCATCATCGCATTCCTCAAACCTATGATTTTTCAGTTGTTATGGCAAAGTTTTTGATGACAAGTGTCAGTTAGCATTCTATCACAAAGTCCTCTGGAAGACGAAATTGAAACAAATGGAAAAAAAATTGGGATACTAACCATCCATCGTTTTACATGCCAAACATTTACTGACGCAATCGTCTTGAATGTGTATCCCTAGTTTAAGGACTGATCATTGTCTACCACCTAGGGTGAGGTGGGGGAAGGAGTTCGGAGGATTTTTGGTCACGGTGTCACGGTAAAATTTACCCGATACCCCCTTAAGGTTTTGTAAAATTCTTAGGATTCCCCCTCTCACTTGCACTTAATTGGAAATCACTTTTCTGGGTCCCCAGCCCCCCCCCCCCCCTTTTATGCTATGTTAGCGACGACTGATCCCCCTTGCGCTCCCCCTGAAAACCATATGACCCTCCCCCCACCTACGACAAATGAAGACTGGTCCCTTTGGTGACAAAGTTTTCTGATGAGGGTTGCTCAGTACATTTGCTTGACCCGTGCGCTTACAAATACGTCCTTTCGCTAGTCAGCAAAAGAGACTTGATTATGTTTGTGATGAAGGAGTATACTATTCCAACCTGTGTTATTATTATAGAATCTCCTTTCGGTGTAGTTCACTTGCGGGAAAAAGTCTTCAAAACGCTCCACCTCTATAGAGGTGTTACTTCGCCAGATGGAAAGTGTCCGGCTACTCAACATGCCTTTATTCTCAGTACCAGTGTCCCTCCTTAGAAACCCGATAATGCCATCAATCAGCATTTGGTAAGCTGTAAAGTCCAGCGATAGTGAGTAATGTATACCGAAGTTAAAAAAAAAAAAAAAAAGCTTTGATGCCCTCTCATGTAGGGGTTGTCCAAGACTCTTTAAATCTCCTTGTGAGCAATAGCCTGGTTGAAATCTTTATCATTGTTCCCTTTCCAGGAGACCTGCAAAGATACACAATGAGTGCTCGCGTCTTCCTTTCAATTTTACATAAAACCAAGGAATAAAACTTCAAAAGAATACGAGGACAAAAATCTTTGATGGAAACGTTAAAAAAATCTTACCAACAGAGAGACGAGCTAACAAAAATGCCGAGAAAAATTTAATCGTTTGTTTCTAATTTAAATCTACTTTGGCAAATCAAAACCATCACAAAATTCTCGAACATGATTGGTTATCATCAGCCCGATTTGAGCGCTAGTAGGAAAGTATAGGCGTCAAGCTTACAGTCTACGTATCATGCATGTGTTATTGGACAGTACACGTCGTGTGCGTGCGCTGTTGTCAAGAATATCGCCGAAGTAATTGTTGTTTTTTTATGAAAAGTAAAACCGATGGCTAATTCGTGTCTCAAGTTTTGTCATAGTTTGATAAATTGGTCACAAAATTTCTTGTCGTCCAGCTCTGCCCGTAATTATACTCGTAATAAACAAGTCGACTCACGCTTTGCAGTCGTCAGATTTCGTGAATCATTCATAAGATCTCAACCAAGTTGGATCCCACTCAATCTATTACCATCGCTAATTTCAAATTTGAAAAACTTATGTTCCCACGGTACAAACTGTTTCATTAACAAAACAAACAAACAAAGGTAAACAAACAACTAGAGAGCAGAAAATAAAACCTGGTTTAAGTGTATTATCAACATAAGGTGGTAATTATACGATTGATGCACATAAGATACGTTTCCTACGCTTCTTGGGGTTGTCCTAAGCATATTTTACAAAATAATTTTGAGAGGCTTTCTGAGTGAAAAAAGAAATACTTGGTTATAAGGATCATGAATGTTTTCCCACCAGTCTTACACTTTGCTTATGATCCTATTTTCCAAAAGAAAAAAAAAACATGAATCTGAATGAAGCAGCTGAATGAATGAAGCAGCTGCGAATGCAAATAAGCGGAATTGGGTTCAGGAAATGGAAAGCGCCTCGTCATTGGGAAAAACAAAACTAGCAAACTACACCAGCAGTTCTTTCACCTTAAGATGAAAAAGCATATCTCATCAAGTACAACTGTTTAAAATTAATTAAAACTTGACACCTAAAACTAGAACGAGGAGCAGCAGCAACGCAAGTCCAATTTACACTTTGCTAAATGATGGATCAGACACACACTCTTTTAAAGAATACATTACAACTACGTTTTTAATTCTGCTTTATATCCTTTCCCTCTGACTCATTAGATTAAAAAATGGTAAAGGTACTGTCTGACACAGCGGTTTTTTAAGTGCACGAGGCATTCGTACACATTTGTTTTTTTGCTTGTGCGTTTGTTTATTTGTTTGCCTATTTCCTCTTTCTATATTCGTATAGCTCGGTTTTCCTATTATGAGAGTTCAATTTTTTTTAAACAAGAGAATGAGTGAAGACAAAATAACTAGAAAAAGCACCTGCTTGTATCACGGAATCCTCAAGGGATAAACATTGACGAATGATTTACCAAACTGAGACAACTTCATGACATTAGAAGCTAACGAAAGCCACCTCCAAGAAGACATGCAAAATACAAATATAATGTTCTTCATCTGGTGCGAACACCAAATGAACTAAGTGATATAAAGTAGTCCTCATTAATTTTAATGATTTTTTTTTGCCAATTTTTTTTGGTTTGATCCTCTGCCTGCACTTAGTTCCTTCCCTTTCAGAAGCGCATGTTCCTGTTTGATCGCAAAACATTACCGTTTAACTTTTGAGCAAGTGAGTTAAACAGGATTCTATCAATTTTATCATTTTTGAAATGTATACTACAATTTGAGAAAATGCATGTTTTGCTTCGCGAAACAAGCAAATCTATGCCACTTTAATGCAGAGGAGGTTTAACTGAGGTTTTGTTTTAAATATTATTTTACCGTTAACTTAAGTAAGTATCAGTGACATATTGAGTAACTAACATAAACTACAAAGTGAGGGCAAAAGATGATTTGATAAAATTCCATCCACTCTTGAACTACACCGAAGAATAAAAAACATAGTTAACACCGCGAATTAAATATTGTGGCTCTAGGAAACAGTGCGAGATGAGGCAAAAAGGTACCGAAAATTCGAAACTTCATTTTTAATTTACCTGATTTATAAAGAGCCACTTCAGTCTTAATTGAGAATCTCCAAAACATGCAGTGACGAATTCATCATTAATGATTATGAAGAACAACCTGTTACCTTAACTGAGAGTACAATTTTCAATTAGATTAATGACATTTAGATGTATTTTTTATTTTATTAATACCCACTCTTGGCTTCAAACAAGCTCTCTCTCTGGAGACCGGCTTATAAGAATTAAGAAAAAAAAGTGCCTCTCTGTATTCCGGAATCCGTAAGGAATAGACAACGACGTCGACATTCATTAAAGAGTTAATGAACTGCATTATCTTCATGATATAAAATACTAGGTAGGGCCAAGATCAAGTCCCGCAGAATGAAATTATAATGTTTATAGCCTGATGAGGACCCCAAGTTGGAAGGAACGTTCCCGTTATTATAAACAGTGACTTTACTAATATCTTGTTCGGATCGTCTTCCTGTTCTTCGATCGGAAGTCTGTCATGTTGTTTTCTCCACATGAGGACATAAGTGATGATTGTTATTAGAAGGGGGATGAGGACAATGTGTTTATCATCATTAAGAAGACCAACGGGGAAATAAAGCGGAAGTGAAAGAGCAGTTTTTTTGATAGTAATAAGAGCAAAAGAAAACTTTCGTTTAAGAAAGATTAAAGAAAAAACATTGTGCAAACCTAATATTGCGTTATTTTGACTACCATAAAATACTTCGCCGATCAAATATTT